TTAGAAGAAGCATGGTTTTGTTTGCAAGAAGCTTGAAATAAAATAGACTAGAAGAAAATAATAAATTTATTTTAGTCAGTGTGGAGGTAAGATTATATGGAGAAGATTATAGTAAGTAGTCTACAGTCCCAAGAGATAGAGATCATTGCAATTAGTGATGTCAGTCAAAAGATGATAGCTGATCTTTCAGCATCTGTACTACATTGCTGTATAAGGAGTAAATGGTTTATTTAGTGGCTTCTCAATGACAAATGTCAGTTGTAAAGCTTTCTGGGATGCACATCACAGTTATATCAGAACTCTGTCTCAGCTGTCTGGAAACCTGTAACAAAAACCAGCCATTTGATCTTGGCCTTTTAAAATCTCATCTCATCTAGCTGTTGGGTGCCTTGCTGAGTGGTATCTGACCACTTTAACAGAAATTACATAAAGTCGACAACCCTCTTGGAAGAGGCTTATATGCTGAAGTATTGTTTACCCCAGCAAATAATGGCCTCCTAATTAGAATTAGAATAGATCTCCGCTCCATTTATAGAAAGGAGATCTTAGTGGGTATCTTTGATTCATCCATATGCATTCTGTGCAAGCATTATAGAACCTTGTGTTCCGGATAACAGGAATATATACCCTGTATTATGTCCATACCGTTATCTATAGTTGTTATAGCCATAGTCATTATATAATGATAGTTCTCTAGAAGATTATATAAACATACTGATCCATTTATTACTGACAATATTCAGTTGCTGAGCCAGCAGATATTATTTACATTGCAGGCATATCATCCATGTAATTAACTCCCCCCCCTGATCACAGATAAAGCATCTCATCCCAACACTGAATAGAAAACAAAGAATGGAGGCTGCTTAAACTCTTGGGAAGCCAGAACATATAGAAAGGGTACTCCTGATAGTCACCAGTGTTGATGGATGGAAGGTCAGAGTCAATTATCTCCCTATTCACCTAGTAGAGCAATGGGAACACCATCTATTTCCAAAATAGTTTCTTTTGCCAGGTTTTTTTTTTTTTTTTAAAAAAAGTTTGTGTTTTAAAATAATCCTTCAAAGACTTAGAGCAATTTGACTTCTTGATACTCTGGAGCACAATCTTATAATTTTTATTAAGATATAAACAATGGGGAGGGGGTTTGTTCAACAAAATTTACTCCCAAGAAAATGTACACTGAATTGGAGCGTATGTCAAATATTATATGGATGGATGATGGGAAGAGATGATATCGGGAATCAAGAGCAAAATCAATCATACCAAGTTTGATTTGTATATTACTTCATTAGTTGAAGATGAAATAATTTATAAGAGCTCATTATGAAACTAAAAATAGAAAGTGAAAAAATCGGGACTAATGTTAAATATTAAGAAGCCAAATATAACACCAAATAGCAAACTAGCACTGTTCAGAGAACAAGTTAAGATGATAGACATTGTTTTTGACTGTTCAAAAGTTGATGTGCTGGAAAAATGAAGATATTTCAGTGATGGGAAAGATCTTCATTGTTAAAGTACTGGCCTTTCCAGTGGTATTCCATGGCTGTAAAAAGTGGAATACCGAGAAATTACAGATCTGGTTACAAATGATATGGGGAACTTAAGAAAAATCAAGCAGATTACAAACAAATAAAAGCTGACTGTGTCACTGAGATGATGATCAGGAGGTAGAAATTAACATACCATGGGTCTGTGATATTAGAGACTGGAGTAGAAAAATTAATATACTTGGCATAATTGAGAAAACATAACTAGTAAGATGGGTAGATAGGTTCAAAAGGATTACAGGTACATTTTTGGAAGAGTTACTTGTTTATTATTAAAAGCAAGTCAAGATGGCAAGTACATGTTCATATAACCATCAGGTGCTCACTCATCTGTATGGCACATAACTAACTTATAAAACTATTTAGCTTGACACTTAGTGTGATACAGAGTGGAAATCAAAGACATAAATTTATATTCAAAAATAGCATTACTTTCTTAGACGATACCTTGAAACCTTTTGATAGAGAAAGATAATTTCTGTCATACTATTTGCTTATGGCTTTGATTTCTATATGAACCTACTTACCATTGTTTGTTTAGCTATGGCTTTTATAATAGCATATTATGTGAATTGAGCCAATTGTTATTATGCAAAGTATGTTAACAAACCATGATTTGGTGCAATGGGTAAACACTGTCAATATTCATACTATCCTAGGCACAAAGCATCTTAAGAACAGGAACCGGGGGATTTCCTGGCTGTGTTACCTTTCCTTCCTACAGAATATCACCATTTGATGAAAAAAAAAAAAAAATCTCAATCATCCTTCACTCACTTTAATGTGAGATGAAGCTGAGATAGCAAAAAAGAAAAAACAAAAGACAAGTTCCAACTATGGATTAGATTTTTTTTTTTTTTGCAGAACTACAAAAAGGAGTTCAGATATCACAGATTGCACAATCATCCTATAGTATAAGCCAAATGCTTGCTTAGTTATTGCTAAATTAGAATCCCCCCCCCCAAGAGACAAGGAATATTAGTAATGTTGTAATGTATGTGGATCCTTGTGGGTATGCTATTCCAAGCATCCTCTATGAACAAATTTTTCATCAATTTTTTTCTTTGTTTCAGGTTTTGATGTCATACATCTTGTTCTCCACTAAACGTAAACTAAACTGTTTTTAAATTTTTTCTTGCAGACAACTTTCAGGCTAATTAAAGACCAGACTTCAGCTTGCTTGTGTCTAAAACAAATACTCATCTTTTAAGACTTCATGTTATTATTTTATTATTGAAGGATGACTAATGCTAAGATCTAAATTACACTAACGGTCTAGTATCAGCACAATTAAAGAGGCCTGGAAACAACATTACATTAAGTCACATTTAGCAATAGCTGCAATTAATAGGGGATCATGTATCTAAGTCATATAAATAAATTAAACTAACAGAATCATCCTTCAGAGGCTTGTCACCTTTTAAGCACTCATGCATACCTTAAGCACATTGGGCTAATACTACAGTCTGGAAACAAAATGAGCAATTAATTAAACAAATGTACAGTAACAGAGGTAACAGTAACTATTTGCAGAATGAGAAAGCGTCCCAGGGATGTATCACTTAACAAGAGCCATGGTTAAAAAGATAACATGAAGAGGTAATCATTCTTAGTCAATGTATGGTATGGTACCATGATTGCATTTCAGTTTAAAAAGTTGCATTCTGATACTACTTATATCAGGTACAATGGTAAGGGTCCCTGTTCATGAAAGTACAGAAGTGTATATCTGCAAGAGATACCAAGTAGCACAAGCACTGTAGTTTTAAAACCAGGATCAACTATTTAGCAAGGAAAGATCTTGCAGTACCTCTGTTGCAGAACAGAGCTGGTTTTAAAAAGTTCTGTATCTTAATAGCAGCCCCTACTGGCCAAAGTATAAAATATAAAATAAAATATAATAATATAATAAAATATAATTAACTGCCCTACTAGTTTCAGCATTTATTATGTATTTTATTTATGCACAATCAGTAGACTGATGATGTTACTGATAAGGTGTCAATATACATTTCTTTTCAGTATTACGTTTCTATGGATGCATCTGTACAACAAAGTCATGTTTTGTTCAATCAAATTGTATCTGTGTCTCTTAATGGCTTTCAGTATCCTTCTGGATTGCCTGCAAAGGTTGAGGGAAGAAGCAAGATATTAAAATAATATCTTATTTTTCATTTTAGGCACAATGTACATAATGCTCCTTCTATTCATTTTCTCCCTACAATAATTCTATTTGTAGATTGATCTGAGAGAAGTAATTGACTCAAAGTCACCTACTAAATTTATATGGTGAAGGATGGATTATAGTCTGAGAATCTCTATGCCTAGTCTGACTCTTTAACCAGAGTTGTTCTCATTTCTGAACTTTATTCCTTATATTGCATTGGTGTTTGTTAATGTTCTGATGTATACCACCTGACACTTTTTAAAACTGAGTAATATATTAATAAAATAACATTAAGGATGATAGCAAAAACTTTTTAAAGCATTTTTTGCTATGTCCCATAATTTTCCCATTCCTGCAAAATAAACTTTCATTAGTTTCATCTTAATTTCTTACACTTGTTAAGCGTCTTATTCACTTGTTCATATATAGCTTTTAATTCCAAAGTTCTTGCAAATGATTAATATTCTCCATAGCATTTTTTAAAAAAAGAGTAGGCATAGGAATAATCCCAAATCCATTCCTACATAGAGAATACCTTTTGAGTTTTATAAACTATGTAACCAAAGGAAACTGTGAAATCCAGATACATTTGAATACTTTGTTGTTTTTCCATTTTAAATAATCAACCTTCCTTTTGCAATGTCAAATGGGTTAGGTGACTTCTAGTATACAGCATGTGTCTGAATTTAATTTTTGAAAATATTACTGATTACAGCAGTGCAATCATGTGTTGTAGGGTCTGACTGAGCTATAGTGTAGAAACAGAGGCAAACAATTTATCTCCTCTTAGCAAACTGTGTAATCTCACAATTTAGACCAGGGGTCTTCAAACTTGGCCCTTTTATGACTTGTGGACTTCAACTCCCAGAATTCCTCAGCCAGGCATGCTGGTTGAGGGATTCTGGGAGTTGAAGTCCACAAGTCATATAAGGGCCAAGTTTGAAGAGCCCTGATTTAGACAAAGGGGGTAATAAATATAGGAAAGCCGTTTACTCATATGGCTGCGATTTGTTGGCCACCTGGGTCAAAGCTAAAGCTGCAAATAAAATCACTCTTCATTAAACCATAATCTTATCGCCATCTAGCGGGGAATGAATCAATCACAGCGGTCCCAGTCTTAAGAAAGCGCCGCTCCGCCCACAGAGAGTTACGTCCATAGCGTACTAACGCCATACGGCAGAAGTCTTTTAATCTCCATGTCGTTCTGTCCAATCAGAAGCGAGAAAGTCAGGAAGGAGCCAATCAGACCAAACGAGCCGCTGCAGTTGATGGCGGTTAATATTTGAACGCAGACGGTGGAAGAAGCGACCTAGCAGGCTTGGGGGATTCGGTTATTGCGTTCCGGCTTTGGCGAATGAAAGTTTGGAGGCTCTGTGTTCGATTGCTTTGGGCCAAAACAGGTGAAGGAGAAATGCGCGTGTTTGTGTTATAAATGGTGGGATTTCCGTGGGAGGGGGAATTAAAATGATCTCTCTCTGCTCCGTGCAGCAGTCGCTATTTTAATTACAAAGTCAGATTTTTAGAATTATTGAATTAATTGCAGCAATAGTTCACAGAAACACGTGAAGCCGGAGAAGCTAATCCATTTATACCATTATCCCCAGCTCTTTTAATCCTTATGTAAACTTGCAACATACACATATACAACTTCTGAACAATTGTTATATAAAAGAAAGCCATGGAGTTTTCTATCGAAGAGGAGTCGTTTGTAAAGGTTTCGTCTGGATTTCTGGTGCAATTATAGTTACAAAGCCCTGAGCAACCTATCTTTCACTCTTCCATTTGTTTTTACACATGTTGTGATTGCCCATCTTTCAACACTTACCTGTGGATCTATCTGTATTTTATTGAATAGGCCAACACAAGTTACCATGGCTTCGGATGGGAATGAATGGGAATTGAGCAAAGAAAATGTGCAGCCTCTGAGGCAGGGGCGAATAATGACTACTTTGCAAGGAGCTTTGGCTCAGCAAGATGTTTCTACTCACACAATTATTCAGCAGCAAAAGAGGTGAATGTGATACACTAATTTATCTCAGTATTGTAGGCATCTCATTTACAATTCTTACTTTAAAATAAGGCAAAGCTTTATTTTACATACAAACAGGATAGCTGGATGTTATGGTTCCTGGTGTGAATATATATTTCTTGATTAAACAATTCTGGAGATACATATGGTGCCTAATAGGCTTGTTTTTATGATCGTCTTGAAAGTTTAAATTAGATGCATCTTCCAAATAATTTGTAAGCACTACAGCTATACTTTTCAATTATTATCATTGCATTCTTGGTAGGAATTTTCCAGTTTATAGAGTGTCACGTACACTCTCTTCTCTAAAGATCTGAATTTTGCATGCCATTTTAATTTGAAAATATTTTTTCTGGTTCTTTAGACATTTACTATATCTAAGCAGCTTACAATAAACCAATACAGCAATATAAGAAAAATCAACAAGTAAAACAATATGTAATGTAAAAGGCATATATTTGGTTATCATTTTAGGGCATTTGAATCTGAAATTCGCTTTTACTGTGGAGATGATCCATTGGACATCTGGGACAGGTATGCTTAACTTTTGTAAGTGAAATATGAAAAAAAATATTTTCCAAATCCAGTTATTCTTGTTTCCCTTGTGTTTATAATTATTTTTAATATCTCTAGGTATATCAAATGGACAGAACAGACCTTCCCTCAAGGAGGTAAAGAGGGCAATCTTTCTGCTGTTTTGGAGAGAGCTATTCAAGCTTTGAATGAACAGCAGAGATATTATCAAGATCCCCGTTATCTTAGCCTCTGGCTTAAATTTGTAAGTAATATATTATTTTGTGCCCAGTTCATTAGAAAACTTTATTTAGATATGACACATTGTCATATGCTGTGAAAAACAATATTTTCACACAAAACTTTCTTTATGGGAATTGTCCCCAGTTATGTTTTCATAGAGCAGAAGTACTGCACTAATATGTAATGTGTTGAAGTCTCTGAATAGTTCAACAAATCATGCTTAATCCTCTCCCCTTAACAAAATAACAGCATTATAACAACTATTTTAAAAGACCAAAATAAACCTAAACTGAACATATGTATACATACTTTAATAGGTTTACTTATTAATCCATAGACCAAAGACCATTGAATCAGTGCTTCCTCTGCCCATTTCTCAGTAATCACCAGCACAATATTGTTTTGTCCCCAAATAACCCTGATGCCTGACTAGAATTGATTTAGCTGTATGAGCTTTATTCAAGCATATCTGAAATTGGTTAACAATTTGCTGAGGGAGTTTACCCAGAAAGGAAATGTATTAAAGTGAACTACAATTTTAAACTTCTAAAACTAAAATAGACTATAAATTTATAACTCCTGGATCTAGTCAGAAATCCCATCCCTATTAGATGTAATAAGCACAAAAGGAAAGGCAATCAACCACATTTCCTAAGTAATTTGACCACATAATTTATTCTCAATGTCACAATATTAGTTTAGAACTGCATAAAATGGATAATATGGTTAGACAAGTAATTAGAGTGGAGTAAAGGTATTTGTTTTTAAAGAACAAATACCTTTGTTAGATAATATTTCAAGGCAACTAAAATGGACCCCATGTCTACCTACTACTTAATAATTCATTTGTTCATCTGTTTCAATTCTTGTAAACTGAGAGAACACAAGCAGCATGCAGAAATGCATGGTAATGCATCTCTTACCATGGAATCCAAGCCCCAAAATAAAGACAAGTCTAGGGTCCAGAAAGCTCAAATTAGAGATTTTAGAGAGAGAGAAAAAACTTGATTTTTAGCTACTAATTCTGTTTCACTTTAGTAAGAATGTGTACAGAAGAGAAATATATTTTAAGTATGGCACTTTTGTGTTCAGAAAACTGTGCCAAACCATTTTCAGATCAGGCATGATTCAACAGAATCAAAACTCAGAATTTTGCTGTACTGGGTTTCAGCCAAAACAAAATTGGAGGGTGTGTGTGTGGCCTGAGTAGAGCAAAGCGGGGAAATGTCACTCCGCAATCCTATCCTCTGTATGTCTTGTATGCCCTCCACTGATCTTTACCTCAGCCATCAATGCCCCAGCAAGGCATCTTCCATCAGCTCACTGATCTTTGATTTTCCCAGTCCCTTCTTTTCTTTTTGCACATTCCATGGCCCAATAGCTTTGTTTCCTGCTCCTGCCATTATCGCGGGAAATCACTTCCCAGAGCAAAAGTGGCTTTGGTCTGCATCTATTACAGAACATCTTTCTGGAGAGTTTTCTGAATTATTGTAACTTCTATTTTATCTGAGGATATAAGGGCTAGAAGTAGAGCTATATGGGGTTTTAAGTTACAGAAATTCTGAGTATCTCTTTGAAAAATAGTTTATAATACGAAGGTTTTTTTTCCTTGTCTCTGTTTTTCAGGGGAACTGTTGCAGTGAACCTTTGGACCTTTATAGTTACCTGCATAGCCAGGCGATAGGCACTTCACTAGCACAACTCTACATTACTTGGGCAGAGGAGCTGGAGGCAAGAGGGAATTACAAGAAAGCTGATGTGATTTTCCAGGAAGGGATCCTTTGTAAAGCAGAGCCTTTGGATAAATTATTGTCCCATCACAGGTAATTGATGAAAATTAGAGATGACTGCTTGGGTTTACAGAAAATTAATTGAACAGTTTTTCTTAGCCCATTACAATAGTTAGTTGATAAAGTACTTGTACTCTGTCTGGCATGTAAGCTGCAACTGCATGATCAACCTCTCTTCCTCCCCTCCAAAACTTTGGCCCAATTTAATCACACAGTAGACATTTTATGCCCCCGATGAAGTGCGCTTCAGCTCACAAAATTTATGCATTTTAATAGTTGAACAAAATGCCACCAGATTTTGGATAGGAATTATAATTGCATGGCTGCACTGGGAAGAACTTAGCCGAGGTACTTTGCAAAAAAAATCTCTTTGCATAGATTATTTTGGATTCAGACACTGTGCTTCATTAGGAAGCAAAAAAGGCAGGAATGATAGCGGAAGTCTTGCTATTTCTGTTTGTAGGGAGTTCCAAGCCCGTGTGTCTCGACAGGTTTTAGAAGAGCTAGGAAATGATTGTGATGAGGAGGAGCAGTTGGACAGTTCTGTTTCTGAACCACAGAGAACCACACTGGCAGAACTGAAGGGGAGAGGAAAGAAAATCATAAAAGCCCCGATTAGTCGTGTAGGAAGTGCTGTAAAAGGTAAGTTGTTATTATGCTATTATAATTTGCCCATTATTAATGAAACAGAGATACTTAATTATGCAATGATGTGTTATAGTCCCAAGCCAAGGACAGAGATTCCAATGCCCACCATCTCAGCAAGCATCAGTCCGTCCGACTTTTTCTGTGTTTGATGAAAACAGAGTTGCAGATTCTACACCTGATCTTCCAGTACTTACACCACAGCCTTGGGTTGCTCCTCCACCCACTAAATCAAAGGAGAATGAATTGAAAGCAGGTCCGTGGACCACAGGCAGGGTAAGAGATAGGAAATCTGCTAAATGCTGTTGGAATATATTTTATGTGTCAGTATGAAACAACTTGATGTATTCTTCAGGAGGGAAAAACTCCAGCTAATTATTAAGGGTTCTCATTATCTTAGTACTGTCTTTAGATAGGTTTCTTCTAAATCTTCCCCTTAAATATATTTAGGCTCCACAAATTTTCAAGGTATTGTGAATATTTTCTGTTTATGTCACATTTCCATGGCTCTAGTAATGCTTTGCTCGTAGCAGCTGTCTCTTAATCAGAATATAGTCCAAAATATCTGCAAACCAAGTAGTCCATCAGTTGATGCATTGAGATAAAAAATGGATTTTCTTTTGTTTTAGCGTCCTCGAACCAATATGGATCCCACTGTCATGGCTTCTGTTGCAACCCCCAGTTTTACTCCGTATGTTGAAGAGACTGCAGAGCAGCAGGCCATGTAAGTTGTCTGCCTTAGACCAGTGATGGCGAACCTTTTAGAGCAGTGGTTCTCAACCTTTTTAATGCCGTGACCCCCCCCTCCCCAACCGGTCATAAGTCGAGGACTACTCAGCCGGTCGTAAGTCGAGGACTACTCAACTGGTGCAGCATTGTTTGCAGAATGGGACTTTTGGCGGGCTCAGCAGGGCAGAGACAGCCTGGACAATTCTTATTGGCTTTTGAAAGACAATAGAATTAGACTCTATTCAAGAGAGTTTAATAAAAGGGAGTAGCACAGCTAAGGAAAGGGAGTAGCACAGCTAAGGAAAGGGGGGGGGGAAATGGCGGACCGCGTTCTTTGGCGACCCCCGTGAAATGGTCGTTCGACCCCAAATGGGGTCCCGACCCACAGGTTGAGAACCAGTGTTTTAGAGACTGAGTGCCCAAACTACAACCCAAAACCCACTTATGCATTGTCAAGTGCCGGGTGGGTGTGGCCCATTGGCTGGGTGTGGCCTATTGGCTGGGCGTGGCCCATTGAATGGGCATGGCTGCGGTGGTAACGACAGACTGGGTGGGACTAAAAAGTTCAATCCATCAATTCCAATTTTGCAAGATCTTTTTTTTTCCTGCAAGAAGTTGAAATTGACTGATTTTTTTTGTTGTTGTTGGTTTTTTTTTTTGTACACGGCGGAGGCCTAAAGCAAAAAGGTTTTATAAAACCCAGCTGAAGGCCTAGAACTGGGGCGACGGCGCGCATGCCCACAGGGGGCTCTGCATGCCGTCTCTGGCACCTGTGCCATAGGTTCGCCACCACTGCCTTAGACTATTAAATAACTGTAAGAGAAAAAGTACTCTTAAAAATCTGCTGTAATGGGTTTTGCTATTAGACCTTTGTTTGTGGGATCTCTGACCATGTCTCTTTCATTTTGCTCAACACATCTGAGAATAAAGTATATAGCAATTATCTTCCTTTGAAAAGACAATTTTATTTTGTGTAATCCCAAAAAACAAAAATTGTCTTCTGATTTCTAGGTCAAAGGAAAAACTGCCTGGATGTTTTAATACTTTTTTTTTCCAGCCCCCAAGAATGATTAAAAAGCAGTGACTAATTTTGCCTTGAAACATTTAGGAATAGAGCAATTTGCAATAAATATTTATTTACTTTTACTTATTCTATGAGGTGTAACTAACTCCTTCAATAGTGAGTTGGTGCCATTTTTTATGTGTCTTTTTGATGGAACTACTTCTTGTAAGGAATGACAAAAGATAATTCAAGAAACATTTTAGAGGGTTAGTTTTGTTCCTAGCTATTTTTCTTAGCTTTGTTAATATTCTTTCTGATTATTTGTACTATTGAGTATTATTGTTGTGTATTTATCTGGATATATTGTTTGCTGAATAAAGTAGTCTATCTGGGAAGGGTTTCTGGAACAGTATTGTGTTAGGATGCTATATGAATACTTTCCAAATATTGTCTGACGTTTTAATTGCTTGCAAAATGTAGCAATAGCACTTAGCAGACCTTTTAAAACCAAGGGTTTCCCTGTTCTCTTGTGAAGCATCAGTCTATACCAGATTCAGTTTTTTCTTTCCCTTTGGAATAACTGGGATTATGGTGAAGTTACATCTCGTATTTGGAGTATAGGTTTTCAAAGCCAATTTGGAAATTACACACTTGGTTCCCTCCACCATCTCATCCAAAGCTGCTTGCTCTTACTTTTATTTTTCTGGGGAAAATACCATGTAATTTCCCTTATGAGTTTTTGTAACAGTTGTTTTTCATTAGAGGGGTTTTTTTAACGTAGCTTTTCTTTTATGACAAACTGGTCTTCCTAATTCCTTGATTATTTGTACTTGATCCATCCTCTCTTTGTTCCATGTTTTTTTCAGGACTCCTCATAAAATAGAGTCCAGCATTAACTGTGTATTAAGTGCCCGAAAACCTGGAAAAGAGGAGGATCCACTACAACGTGTGCAAAGCCATCATCAAGATGGTCAGGAAAAGAAAGAACAGCCTATGTATTGTAAAGAGAGAGTATATGCTGGAGTAGAGGAGTTCTCCTTTGAAGAGATTAGAGATGAAATCTACAGAAAAAAGAGAAGGGAAGGTATTAGATCCAAAATTACAAGCAACTTCCAGAATTGCCAAATGTCAATATTTTAAGAGTTATTGGGGGGAATGCACTGATCATTTTCAAAGGTTGTTATATTTGGCATCATGGTTGAAAGAGGTTTGAAAAGCACCTTTGGATTATTTTACAATTGAAATAATCTCTGTCCTACCATTGTAATACATTTTTTAAAAAAGGATCTCCCCCCCCACACACACACATACAGTAGAGGTTTTTCTTAAGCTGAGGTAAGAATGCTGCAATTTTAATTTTCGAATGAGCCCTTAAATATAAGTGACAAGACATGCATCATAATGTGCATGAGCCATCTTTATCTAAAGAAGAAGTAATGGAAGATTTTAAAAGATTTGGGTATTCAAAAAAGAATATAACCAATTTTCCTTTCCCATCTTTTACCCCAGAATATTTATGCTAGCTTGCAAATCCTTTTCTTATTGTCCACACAACAATTTTGGGACAGAGGAATCTTTTAGCAAATCATACGTTTATTTTAATTATGTTTTAGAATGGGGTTACACACAGGGCATCCTAGTTCTGAATTTCTCTTTTAAAATCTAGAGAATGTTGTTAGTGTCATGATGCTGAGTTCCTGGAGTTATATATTGCATAGACTAGGAGTCTAAGTAATTTTTTTAGTGCACCTCTGTAGGATTTTGCTACACCGCTTTTTCTATGAAGATTTTATCTTGTTTTTCTTTCATATAAGAATTGCAGGCTTTAGCACAAAAAAAAGCCGAGTTGCAGAAAAAGATTGAAGAAATGGAAAAAGTGGTGAGAGAGCAGCAGGAAAAGAATAAGCAGAAATCAGGCACTCGGGTAACATTCTGTTTTGGCTTTATATAAGTTTATTATTTAACTTCTGTGTAATTGCATTATACTTGATGAATATAGTCAAACTTTTATTGTTTATTCAATGATCACAGCAACAAGTGGAACAAGAGACTGCAGCCGTATTTCCTGCTGCATCAAAGGATTTGAAATTTTCCCCAACTGAACAGCAACATGTTTTAGATACTGAAGCAATTGTTGAAGGATACCTTCCAGGGTGTTTTTCCATGAAAAGGTAATAGAAAGATTGCTTTGCTGGAGGGAGGGAGAGAGAGAGAGAGAGATCTTTAAAAAAAAAAAAGCCAATGATTCAAAATTCTATTCAGAATTTCAAAATTTTAAAACAAGCTATTACTTGCATACATACATTTAAATAAACAAGTATTAGTAGATCTATTTGTTAACCTCTTTTCTGTTTTACATTCTATCCTTGTTATAGCAATTTTGAGCTGGCTGAAAATAATGAGTGTAAAAATTCAAACTCCAGTGGTAAGTTATATTTATAGATTTTTTTTAAAAAAGAATCCAAACTATGAGTCCAAACAAAGGGAAGATGGGAAGTATTTTTATATGAATCTCCTATCCATTGGTGAAATGAGTTAGGTTTTTTTTTTCTTTTCTGAGAGCATGAAAATAATCAAATTGCAACTTAAGCTTCTTTCATTAGCTTACTTTGCAGGGAGAGAAATTTTTCACTTCTAGTGGGGGACATACTGCTTCCATCGTAGCCATTATACAGCCACTCACCTAGTTTACCATTATGTAAGCCAAAATTTATCATGCAGCATCTCAGATTATATTTGTAAATTTATACAAATTTATAAAGTTATAGTGCTGATGGGAAAACATCTCAACATCATAAAACATCTGTTTTATGAACCATTCTGTTCCCTCCTTCCCCTCTTCCTGTGCTCCTTTATAAAGAGGCTGAATCTGGAAGAACTGGGTGGATGCTTTATCTGAAAAGGGATTTGATCATCTTTGTGTGTCTAATCTGCTTGAAGACACTGTACATTTATCTGACTGGTGTCTTTGAAGAAAGTGTTGACACAAAAGACTAGAACAAAGTACAAACAGCAGTTGGCAGCTACTGAAAGTTTTCTTTAAAGCTTATGAAGATAGAGAAAATGGCAGAAAAACTCTTACTTATCACATAATGACATTGTTAAAGACCTTTAGTAGAAAAGCCAGGTAACAGTTTATGGTATGGATTTTTTTTCTTTTCTAAAAATAAAATAGTGGGAAATGCTGTGTTCTTCCAAAATTTCCATTTCCATTTTGGAGAAAGAGATTGAGACTAGGAATGGCTTTTTCTTATGGTAATTATATCTCACTCTGCCTAGGAAAGAGATTTACACACAGGCAATCCTCGTGCAGCAACCATTTGAAGTTAAAACAGTGAAAAAATTACAACCAATTATTACATTTATAGCCATCACAGTATCCTATGATCTCACATTTGGACGTTTTGTGACCTAAGTGCATTTACAGCCATTGCAGTGCCTCTTGGTCATATCATCACCATTTGTGCGCTTCATAATCACTTATGGCAAACAGTGTCATTGCAGAATGTGGACCCATGAAAATAAAATCATATGTTGGACTCACGTGATTGTTTGCATTGCAACTGCACTGCTTCGTTTAACAATTGAAGAGGAAGTAAGGTCTGTTGTAGTTGCATGATCTTCTGCTTAGTAACCGAACTTCTAGCCACAATTGTGGTTGCTAAGGGAGGATTACCTGCTTTACTTCCTATATGGTTTCTTCATAGCAATTAAATAGGTTAGACTGAGACTGTTGTGGTGTTTAAGCACATGGACTTGATTATGGTGTTTAAGCACATGAACTTGATTTGAGCCTATTCAGATATAAACTTCTAGATCCCTGTATTAATTTATTCTGCTGGAGGACTGACAATTGCCAACAATTATAATTGATGAGAGTTGTGTAGAAAGTTTTAAGTGGGATGTAATTCTCTTCATTATAATCAATCTGCTTGTCAGCCGTTGCCAGTTTCAGAAAAAGTTTATACAGTCAGTGAATGCAGAGATAGGATATTAAAGTGCTCTTGACAATTATATTGTTAATGTACTCGGCCTATAGAAAATATTAAGCTGGCCACCATAATACTCAACAGCTTATCTTTCAGATGCTGAGACCTCTTCGGCTGTGAATTCTATACCTTTCTCTATTTTTGATGAGTCATCTGCTCTAGAAAGTAAGACTGCAAGGTAAATATAAACTTTTTAAAAACTAATAAATGATATCTTTCAGCACATTGCAAGTCCAGTATTTTAAATAAGATTCTAGAATTCAGTGAATTTTTAGTGTCATCCAAACAGTGTCATTTGCTTTATCTTTTAGTTTTTCACTTGGTCTTTCCCTGGTACATGGTAGACATCCCCTCGCAATCCGCAAACTTTCAGAAAGTATCACTGCTAAGGAAAACATACCTCCTGAAAATTCTGTAAGTGCTCATAGTTTGTATGATGCCTATTATATGAATATATTTTGCTCTAAAGACCCATGATATCTTCCTGCCTCTAAAATACTACTTTCATCAAAAATATGTTTGCATGCATAGTAGATTGCAGCCAACAAATTTATGGTTCTCGCACCTTACATCTGTGAATAAACATATTTAAAAATGCATAGTAAGGCCTAGGGCCAGCTGTCTGATCTGGATCTGTAACCCACTCCTATCTGTTTCTTAACAACTCTTGATGATTTTCAATTCAAATTTCATCTACCTATAAAAGCTTCATTTCAAGCTTGGAAAATAATATATGTATTTTTGATTAAAGCTGCATTCTACTTATGGTAATTTACCAGAAATTATACACTGGCAACTTGTCAAATGTAGGGCATGATGGGATGCTCACTATGACCTTTCCCCACCCCTGCTATTTTGCAGCTGTCAGGGATAGATCACTTTTACCAGAAATATGGTTCATTAGTTCAAGTTTTTGGAATCACTCTAAAGGCTGATTAAGATTAAGCTCAACTGCTTCAGATTGCAAATCCTTTTTATATGTTTTCTGCACAATCCCAAGATAAAGTTCTTTATTAGTAGGTGATGTCTTTGTCTGTCTACACACATGCTCATGCAAATGTTAGCAAATTTATAGCATTTTCGGTTAATTGACTCTGGTTAAGCAATCAGTATATCTATATCTGTCTATATATTGATATCTATCTGTCTGTGAATTAAATATGAATTGCTGATTGGTTTACCTTATGCAACAGTATATTTCAGAAAATAGTGTGGCACCAAATAAAAGGTAAGAACCAGGACAAGAAATTTGCCAGCTATCAAAATAGGTAGTTTTAAAGAATCAAAACTCCTTTTCTTTAACAATGTATTCATTTTTGGCTAAAGTTATTTAGAATACAGCAATTTAAAATAACTAACAAAATCTACTCCATGTGTTGGGATTGAGCTTTGGAAAAATTATATGTAAAAGTTACAGTTGCTGCTAAAATAATTTAGGAGATAAATCTATTTTTAATAGAATTCCAAACCAATTATTTTGTGTTGCAAAGCCTATCCGAATCACAGAATCTATCTTCTCTGAGATAGTCATGCTGTAATCTCTTGCATTTTTCTGTAGGATGAACTTCAAGGAATTGAACCCTTGAGTGAATATGCAATTGTCACAGGCTTATATAAGAACAAAACTCTTTGTCCTAATCCTGAAGACACATGTGATTTTGTTAGGGCTGCCCATCTAGTGTCAACACCTTTCCATGGAATAACAGAACAGAGAAATCAGCTGGATGACAAACTAGAGCAAGAATGTCTGGAATCTAAGACTATACCTCTGAATCAACAAACGGTTGTTTGTGAAGAACAATATGAGGAATCCATCTATGTGAAAAAACTGAGGTAACTCAGTTGGGAGGTCAACAGCTTTTGAATGTTTATATAGGATTGCGCACACAGCTGTCTTGGTTGCGTATATGGTGGCTATATAATGTACAGATTTTCACGATGGTTCCCAGATCGCTTGCCTATTCTGCTATAAAATTAGAAATAAATGCTAATTGCTCATGATAATATCAAGAGAATTATATATTATCCTCACTGCATCCAGGAATTTCTGTTTCATAAAATTCTGTGTAAACTTGAGCCCTACACCTTGCCTCGTGAGCAGAGTTTCAATACAAAATTATATTTGAGTGCTGCTACTAATAATAATTCACAGATTATGTTAAAAAATAATGCATTGAACACTTTTCTCCCGTGCTTTTTAATATCTGTATGTGAAACTGCTGGGAAAGTTGATATGCAGCTCTGGAATAAAGTGGCATCTAAACAGTAATGATATTCAGCTCTACTACCACTTACCTTCTAACTGCAAGGAGGTTCAGAAAAAAAAATAACCAGTTTAAATATGTGGCCTTTGGAGTTGTTGGCAGCTTGAATAAATTTGCAGGATGTAAATCTGATACAGTTGTTTTCCAATTATGTATAGTCCAATTTTGGAGGCAAGCCAAGAAGATACCAGATCTTCAGCATCTTCAAGTTCCCCAACACAAATCTCTACTGTTAAATTGGAACAAATTCCTGAGAAACTGGAATTGATTCACACTACTGATGAAATCACCAATGATGTTGAAAATGCCTCTGGTGAGTCTGCAACTGACAACTTAATTTCTTATTCCAGGCTTAAAGCATATGCCTAATAAATATACATTTATAACTGTTCTACAAACAATTCAGCAAAAGGAGTTGGTTAATATTTCTTTAAGGGTGGGTATTGTGCTACTGGCCTTGGAAGAAGTGGTACAACCTCTCAGTAATCTCCCAATGTTTACTCAATCTCCAGTCTTCATTTTTTGTAAAACAGTTGCTACATGTAATTCATTAATAAGGCAATTGATTCAATTAATAATTGAAAACTGTATTAGCAATATACCAGGAACTGTTTGAGGGACTATTTGCAAGGCTTCTTAGCATTAGTGGTCTGTGAGCCACACAGGAGTTAGCAAATGGTGTGGCTTCAATCCCTGAGTTTTAGAGCAGAGCAACTTGACTTTGCTGCTCTGCACCCCCACTGATTTTTTCATGTCTTTGAAGGGGTGAGGGATGCTTGGACATTGTCCCAAAGTTAACTGGATTCTTGGTTCATGCAAAGCTGTATTATATATATATATATATATATATATATATACATACATACATACATACATATAGTTACAAATTTTATTGGTTTTTTTTTTCATAAACATATGTTAATTTTTCCAATCAACAAGTTGTCTGGGATTAGCTATGCTAATACATATTCAATTCCTAATCCTTCATTCTTTCCTCTAACCAACAATAAAATGAATCCCAAATTTGATAGTGGTCTGTGTCTTCTTTATCTTTCAGTCTCATAGTTAGTCTGTCCATCTCTGCACATTCCAATATTTTCTGATTATTTCTTCTTCTGATGGCAATCCTTCATTCTTCCAGTATTATGCGAAAATTATTCTCGCTGCTGTGGTAATGTGTAAGATTAAATATAGATTATTAATCTTTTCAGGCATTATACCTAGTAAAAAAAAGTTCAGGTCTAAAATCAACTTGTTCATCCAATATTTTTTCTAACCACATATGTATCTTTCTCCAATAAGCCTTAGCCTTGCCACATGTCCACCAAATGTGGTAGTACGTGCCTATATTATGTTTACATTTCCAACATCTATCTGACATATTTTTAAACATTTTTGCTAATCTTGCTGGTGGCAGGTGCCATCTATAAAACATTTTATACAAGTTTTTATATGAAGTTGACATTGTTAGTTTGTAGTTTCTCTCCCATAACATTTGTCATTTTTCTAGTTCTATATTATATCCAAAATTTTTCGCCCATCTTATCATTGTTTCTTTCACTTGTTCACTTTCCATTTCCAAAATTAACAAAAAATTATACATTTTCTTAATTAATTTCTCATCTGAGGTTAACAAAATCTTATCAAACACAGTTTGATCCTTATAAAATCCATACATTTTTACATCTTTTTCATATCATATCATAGCAAAGCTGTGTTATATATTGTTAACGGTACAATACCAGGTCAGGCTGGACAATGTTGTCAAGTATAAGGCAAGAAAATACACATTGGTAATGTAAAACACATCCTGCGATTTGAACAGCGATATTCAATTGCTGTGTAGTTATAAAGGAAAATTGCTATGCAGTATGGAATTGTTATCTGACAGATATATGGTTTGGGTTTTCTTTTTTCTTTTTTAGATGACTCTTCGGAAGGTTTGCAGAATTCTGAACGACGCAAACAGTTCTTTCAACCTCTTCCAGATTTCTTGACCGAGGCTTGTGGCTTTAAACAGGAGGATCAGCTTATGCCTTGGATAGAATTGGAAAAAGAAGTTAATTTGGGTGATTATAGTTATAATCTTTTTATGGTATAATCTGTTTTAATCATAAATTCTAGAAGGAGAATGGAAAAGCCATGAGCAGCATGAAACCCCACATCCCATTTGCAATCGCGGTCCCCTTAGAATGTATGAAGTGGAATTGTTGAATCTTTTGTTAAAATGGATGACTTGAATCTTGCGAAGATGCTCCCTTTTTAAATCTGGTTCCACTAGGTCAGTTTTTCTTTTTTTCATGTTGGGTTTCTAAAGGAGAAAAAAAAAATCAGTTTCTTCTGCTCTAGTGATGTCATAAGCAATACAGAAAGGCAAAAGACTGCCTCTAAGGTACAAAAAATTGCCATTTCTGCATTGTGATATATAAAACATTGGGAACTTAATTAAGCCAGTATATAATTTTTTTCTTCTAGTTCAATTTGCTTGAATTCATTAGCTATTCTATGTGGATGGAAAAAACACTATCAGCATTCAGTATTAGTGTGTATTATTGTGATGCTAAACTTGATTACTAACCAAATTTACCCTGGGTGGGGAGTATCTGGTCCTTTAAATTACAGACTAGTTTTATATGTCCAGAGTAGGCCCTAAGAGCCAATAGAGAAAAAGAAGGGATTTTATCAAGTTTGGGGTGGGAAGAGGATTTGATTAGGGGTTAGTTACTTCAGGCAAGGTTGAAAAATGATCTGTTCTTATTGTTTTCAATTTCAGATAAGTAGTTGGACCTTGGATTAAAGTGTACAACCCAGATCTAATCTGTTACTTAAGGCTAGAATTGTTATTAGGGTTTTTTTGTACTTTATTTTATCTCATTTTTAATTTACCATGTTACCATGCGGATGCTGATCTTTAACAAACTTGATGAAGTGTATTTTGTGAACACTGAATAGTTTACCTGAATCTAATTGATGATGCCTTAAATTCCAGTGATACAGGGAACTACAGAAAGTTACTTAAGGAATTCAGTTATTCGTCTTGTCATATTTAAAACATTTATCCTATCAATGTACAGCAGGCAACAGTGTCCATATAAGGTTGAAAATAATTTAGGAGAGGTGTTTCTAATCTTGGGCAAACACAGTGCTTTCCTACTATTCTTTAAAGCAGCTATGTCAAACTCACAACATCACGTGACGTTGTGCAAAGTATTGGGACAATTTTGCCATTGCTGGCAATGGGGTGGGCACGGCTTCCACGTGACGCGTCTGGCTCGTGGGTTGGCAGCTTGACACCCCTGCTTTAAAGGATTCCAGGTTTTTTTCAAACTGCCTCATGAGCTTGAAGAAAAAAATGCTGCTGTAAGAAGCTGCCTCTTTAATGCAGCTTTCAAAGCAAGGACAACTTTTGTGCTCATGCAGAAGTCTGAAAAAAGTCTGTTGCTTTAATAGCAGGCAGGTGCGGTCCTCATGTGAGGTTTGAAGTACCTCTTTCAAAGCATTTATGAAGCATTGCACAGTACAAATAAATATGCAAGTAGTGATGTTGGTTATGCAACCCTCCACATGCAATCCATTGTACTATCCTCCCAATAATTCCAGATTAACAAAGAAACTCTAGAGATGTGTAGAGATGTAGGGTTTGTTTGAATTAAATGTTCATATGCCCAAATATTATTTCTAGATGTGTAAAGGTATTAGAAACATGAAGTGTTCTAGTAATGATTTGTTATTGCAAACAATTCTGTTTCAACAGGAAATGCTACTTACCATGTTACTCGTGAGTATTTGATCAGTGAGCAAAACAAGATATTCTCTGCTGTATCAGCTGACATTACAAATAAGGATTCAGCAGCATTTTTAATAAAGGTATAATTATTTTATTCTGATCATCCTTTAATTAACTCTTTCAAACTCCCATATAGTCACTTATGAACACTTATGAAGCCCTTTCACCTATCCCTTTAAATTGCAGTGCAGTTCTCTTGCTTCTGTTCTAAAATGACAAGTTACCAAAGCCCCTAAGATTGTTTTCTAATTAAAAACAAAAATGTATTCCTTTCAAACAACAGTTAAAAATACAAAAAGATCGTCACCATAAAAAGTAGAAAGGCAACAAAGGATTTAACTTTTACTACTGCCTTAAGCCGAACAGTAATGTTATATTTTTTTTTAAAAAAAATCATTCAATGAAAAGTAAGGTGAAATAAAATTGTATTTTAATTCTGAAGCATAAGAGTTCAGGTCAGAATGAAACTTCCATTTGTTCTGTCTGCCTGAACTGTGTCCCAGATTTTTTCTAGGGAGCATTTTCACTTATTTGGAAAGACATATAATTGCAAATGATGTTTTGCTAGCAGAATGATACCGTCAGATATAACCAATTCATTTTAATTCAGTTTGTATGTAGTTTCCCTGCATGATGTGGGGAATCCAATTTTAATTGCTCATCCCATCTCTGTTACCTGGGTGGAATTAGGCAATGTTTTCAGATTTTCTACAGGCAGTGAAGCACAGTGGTCACAGAATATCTTTCTATGGTGAAACTGCAATGTAAGCATGGAATTTCAATTGCTGGAATGAGATCTGCCATATTGGCTCAACTTTATCTGCTACATAAACACACCATTTATTTACTTGCCTATCTAATTTATACAAGCGTCTATCTCACAAGCAGGTAACTCTAGGCTGCGAACATTAACTATAGTTTGTACATTATCAGATAACAAAATAATCACTTAAATTTGGATAAGTATAGCTGGTTGAGGTCTGAATATTAGGAAGTCATAGTTGTAAATATTCTTTATTCAGGTACATTCTGAGCCTGTGCCATGGGACTTCTTCATACTATTGCTACTTCAAGAGCGCCTAGGTGCTGAATTTGACCAGAACTTTAGTCAATACTGCACTTGTTTCTTATATCACAATGGCTGTGTGACTCTCCATGAGACAATATGCTCTCTCACTGTTCAGGTCAGTGTGTACATTGTTGAGTGAGTGGGAGTTGAACAATTTGTTTACATTTGCCTTCATGTGTAAGTAAAACAGCTATATGAAGCATTGGAACTGAAGTAGATGATGCAAAATAAAAAGAAAGGTATATGACTAAGAAAAGCAAGCTTTAAATGTAGGCATGATATTTCCAAGATTTAATTAACTGAGTTGGGATCAGGGTGGTAGAATGTTTTCTTATGCCTAATCTTTATTTCTCCCCCCCACCAGGATATGATCCAGCATGATAAAGCTATCCCTCAAGAAGTGATATTGCTGATCATTGACAACCTCCTAGAAGTGGTGGAAAAATTGCATAAAGCAGAAATAATCCATGGGAATCTGAATCCAGAAACATTGTTCTTGGGAGACAGGTTGGCTGTCTTTCTTTATTGACCTCAAGCTTTGTGCTTTTAGACTGGCACTTTTTAAAATAATATTCCAAGTAGATGCAAGCTTGATTTTGAGCAATGTATGTCACTAAGGGAAAAATAAGAGCATTATAATAATTCATTCTAAATTGGTGTTGGAATAAGAACAATACAGATACTTGGGTCAGTAAATTCAAATTTGATTGTATTCTATCCTAACTTGTACCTAAGATTTATAAGAAGTTCACCAATCCATTTGGAGCCATCTCTGACCTTCAATGTTATTGATCACAAACACATAGGTGTAATCATTAATATTCTAGTTTATGGAGAACTGGGTGTCACATATCAATTGTACAGTGGAAAAAACTTGTATTAGGAAATGCACTTAATTTAAACATTGTGTAAACCAGGGGTCTCCAATCTATGGACTGTGACCTGGTACCAGGCTGCAGCCTGTTGGCCCCTGGGTCCGAGAATGGCTGGTCCTAACCCCCCTACTTGTGCTTAGCACCGCTGTGCGGGTGCCGCAGGTGCACATGGCCCGCTTGCACATGCGGGCACTAGCAACCCCACCATGCACATGCCCACTTGTGCATGGCCCGCTTGCGCATGTGCAGAGGCTCTAGCACCCTTGCCATGCATGTGGGCGCACATTGCCCTGCTCCTCCCTTTCCCTCCAGGCCACCAACCCAGAAAGTTTGCAGAACCCTGTGGTAAACCATGATTTGCTTGATTATTGTTTACAGAGAAAAAAAATCGGATAGTTTTCATAAATTAGTATTGACTGAGGAACTGTAAAATAAAGCATCCATGTGAAAAATGTATTTATCTGTGTATACATATATAAAATCCCAAAGGTGCTTTTTCAGGAGGCAACTGGACTTTCTTTTTCTTTGAAGATGGTTCACTTCTCATCCAAGAACTTTCTTCAGCTCTGACAGGATGGTGGGGAATGGAAGGATTTACCGTATATTCCGGCGTATAAGACGACTTTCGCAAGTGTTAAAATCAGCGCCGAAGTCGGGGGTCGTCTTATACGCCGAGTGATCTTATACACCGGAAATACTGGTAGTTTCCAGGGTATAAAACGACTTTCTAGGCATGCGACTCGGCACCGAAGACGGGGGTCATCTTATACGCCGGCATATACGGTATATTCCTATGACCAGCTTGTCTGCAAGGAGTATAAATCCTTCCATTCACCACCATCCAGTCAGAGCTGAAGAAGCTTCTTGAATGAGAAGTGAAACATCTTCAAAGAAAAACAAGAAAGTCCAGTTGCCTCCTGAAAAAGCACCTTTGGGATAACTATGACCTGGATGAATGAGGATCGCCATAGAAATACATATACAAACATTTTCTATTTAAACTACCCTTTCATGCACATAAACACGGTGGACATCTAACAGCAGCAAAGATAAATTATTCTGCAATGCCCTATGGAGTTCAGTGGCACTTATTCCAGATAAGTATGGTAGCCTTAGCCTCCTCTTTACCTTCCATTTGCAGAAGATGAAATCTTCAGTCGAACAATTCTTAACTATAAATATTCTTTGCTAACTGAGGATTTGATTTCAGGCAACTTTGGTCACATAGTTGACTTTCATGTATAGAGGAGGTCTCCATTGTAGACACTCATTCTCCATCTTTTAAAGGCAACAAAAAGAGAACAGGGCTGATGTGATTGCCTTTTTTTGCCTCAGAGTAACGAGGACGGTTTCACGTGCATACATACAAATCCATCCTTCTTCCAACCACTTGCTTTTATTATCCTCAGCTGCTACCCACAGACTTCCTTTCAATGATATTTCCTATGGCAGGATTTTCATCAAATACAAAATACCTCTACACACGTGTGTGTGCACACAATCCACAGATAATTGATTAATTGAAGGGAAAACCTTGTTTTTCTTTTACATCAATACACCATTAAAAATGAAGCAAATTCTTATTGCAAACACTAGAGGGAAGCAGTAAGGCAGACGTGTGCAAATACTGTACCATTCAATTAAACTGCAAATCTGCTCTCCTTCAGGATTTACAATCCATTTGCCATGGAGAAGACTAACAAAATTCTGAAGATAGTGGATTTCTCTCACAGCCTAGATTTACAACTAGAGCCAACTGTGAATTCATTGAAAAGCTTCCCAATAACTCACACCCAGATTGGACAGCAGATCTTTAATGAAAACACCCCAGTACATCAGGTAAAAGCCCATTTTTCTTGGTAACTCTTATTTAAAAATATCTAAAATTTTTGGATGTCTTAATAGAAAATCCCAGAAAAAAATACGGTTGAAGTTGATGTAATATTTCTGGAGCAAGCTGCTTCTAAACATTACTTTTTTATTATATGATTCGAATGATTCAAGATTATGAAATTTACAGATAATTATTATTAACATAGAAATCCTTTAATCATTTCAGGTGGACATGCTTGGCATTGCAAACACTACCCATTTGATTTTGTTTGGCGAGTACCTGCAAGTTCATTGGGAAGAAGACAGATGGAAAACTAGTAGAGATTTATCTCAGTAAGTATTTAGCATTTCAAAAACTCTTTGCCTTTTGTTTCTCATTCTAGATTCACCATGACAGAAATACTATTAATTGAGAGAAAGGACATAAAATTTAAATCAGAATAACATGTTAATCAGTTAAGTAATTGTGACAACCAAGTGTGGTCCTGGGACTTAAGTATATGGGACCCAATTTTACATTTTGTGTTTCAGGGTGTTGCTGTACTAAACTGCAGTTTAATACTATTTTTTTATCTTAATATCAACATAACAAATAGGCAACTTGGACACTTTGAAGGTGGGCTATTACTGTGTGATTTGTATGGGGTTGTTTGAGAGACCCAGCTTGCTTTGGGTCCCATTGATTAAGCATGTCATTTAGTGGGACTCAGGAATAAGGTTTTTTTCGATATCAATTATGGTTTGTCACAGTCAGCCAGATATTTAGACTGGATTTGGCATTTTTGTCCACCAATCAAGTCTTTCCTAAAGACCTGGGAAAGGCAGATATTGATATTTGATAGTGTTAAAGGTATCGTCACAGGATGTAAGCTGTCCTGAGTAAAGCTGCCTTTTGCAATTGACTGATGGTGATTTGGTCTATGCCAATAGTATTCAAATGGTGCTCCAGATGTTTTGGGATTGCACCCAAGGCACCTACTATATTACATTATTGTTGTTGTGTTGTTAATTGCGAAGTCATGTCCGACCCGTCGCGACCCCATGGACAATGTTCCTCCAGGTCTTCCTGTCCTCTACCATCTTCTGGAGTCCATTTAAATTCACACCTACTGCTTCAGTGACTCCATCCAGCCATCTCATTCTCTGTCGTCCCCTTCTTCTATTGCCCTCAATCTTTCCCAACATTAGGCTCTTCTCCAGAGAGTCCTTCCTTCTCATTAGGTGGCCAAAGAACTTGAGTTTCAACTTCAGGATCTGGCCTTCTAAAGAGCAGTCGGGGTTGATCTCTTCTAGGACTGACCGGTTTGAACGCCTTGCAGTCCAAGGGACTCGCAGGAGTCTTCTCCAGCACCATAGTTCAAAGGCCTCAATTCTTTGGCGCTCAGCCTTTCTTATGGTCCAACTTTCACAGCCATACATTGCAACTGGGAAAACCATGGCCTGGACTATACGCACTTTTGTTGGCAGGGTGATGTCTCTGCTTTTTAGTATGCTGTCTAGATTTGCCATAGCTTTCCTCCCCAGGAGCAAGCGTCTTTTAATTTCTTGGCTGCAGTCCCCATCTGAGGTGATCTTGAGCCCAGAAAAATAAAATCTGTCACTACCTCCATTTCTTCCCCATCTATTTGCCAGGAATTGAGAGGGCCGGATGCCATGATTTTGGTTTTCTTAATGTTGAGTTTCAAGCCAACTTTTGCACTCTCCTTCTTCACCCGCATCAAGAGGCTCTTTAGTTCCTCTACACTTTCTGCCATTAGAGTGGTATCATCTGCATATCTTAGGTTGTTGATATTTCTCCCGGCAATCTTAATTCCAGCTTTTGATTCATCTAGCCCTGCCTTTCTCATGATGTGCTCTGCATATAAGTTAAATAGGCAGGGCGACAGTATACAGCCTTGCCGGACTCCTTTTCCAATTTTGAACCAATCAGTGGTTCCGTGTTCGGTTCTTACTGTTGCTTCTTGACCCGCATATAGGTTTCTCAAGAGACAAATGAGATGGTCTGGTACTCCCATCTCTTTAAGAACTTGCCACAATTTGTTGTGATCCACACAATCAAAGGCTTTTGCATAGTCAATGAAGCAGAAGTAGATGTTTTTCTGGAACTCCCTAGCTTTCTCCATGATCCAGCGTATGTTGGCAATTTGATCTCTAGTTCCTCTGCCTCTTCGAAATCCTGCCTGTACTTCTGGTAGTTCTCGATCCACATACTGCTGGAGTCTAGCTTGTAGGATTTTAAGCATAACTTTACTAGCATGTGAAATGAGTGCAATGGTGCGATAGTTTGAACATTCTTTGGCATTGCCTTTCTTTGGAATTGGAATGTAAACTGACCTTTTCCAATCCTGTGGCCACTGTTGAGTTTTCCAAATTTGCTGGCAAATTGAGTGTAGCACTTTTACTGCATCGTCTTTTAAGATTTTGAATAGCTCAGCTGGAATACTGTCACCTCCACTAGCTTTGTTGTTGCTCAGATTTTCTAAGGCCCATTTCACTTCACATTCTAGGATGTCTGGTTCGAGGTCAGTGACCATCTCATTGTGGTTATCTGGGATGTTAAGCTCATTCTTGTATAGTTCTTCTGTGTAGTTTTGCCATCTCTTCTTAATCTCTTCTGCCTCTGTTAGGTCTCTGCCATTTTGGTCCTTTATCATGCCCATCTTTGCATGAAACGTTCCCTTCATATCTCCAATTTTCTTGAAGAGATCTCTGGTCCTCCCTATTCTGTTGTTTTCTTCTATTTCTTTGCACTGTTCATTTAAGAAGGCATTCTTATCTCTTCTAGCTATTCTCTGGAATTCTGCATTCAATTGGGTGTATCTTTCTCTTTCTCCTTTGCCTTTCGCTTCCCTTCTTTCCTCAGCTATTTGCAAAGCTTCCTCAGACAGCCATTTTGCTTTCTTGCATTTCTTTTTCTTTGGGATGGTTTTAGTTGCTACCTCTTGTACAATGTTGCGAACTTCCATCCATAGTTCTTCAGGCACTCTGTCTATCAGATCCAGTTCCTTAAATCTATTTGTCACCTCTACTGTATATTCATCAGGAATATGATTTAGTTCATACCTGAGTGGCCTAGTGCTTTTCCCTACTTTTTTCAATTTAAGCCTAAATTTTGCAACGAGAAGCTCATGATCTGAGCCACAGTCAGCTCCTGGTCTTGTTTTTACTGACTGTATACAGCTTCTCCATCTTTGGCTGCAGAGCACATAGTCAATCTGATTTCTATGTTGACCGTCTGGTGATGTCCATGTGTAGAGCCGTCTCTTGGGTTGTTGGAAAAGAGTGTTTGTTATGACCATCGTATTCTCTTGACAAAATTCTATTAGCCTGTGCCCTGCTTCATTTTGTACTCCAAGGCCAAACTTGCCTGTTATTCCGGTTATCTTTTGGCTTCCTACCTTAGCATTCCAATCCCCCATGATGATAAGGACATCATTTTTTGGTGTTAATTCTATAAGGTGCTGTAGGGCTTCATAGAACCGGTCAATTTCATCCTCTTCAGCACCAGTGGTTGGGGCATAGATTTGGACTACTGTGATATTGAATGGTTTGCCTTGGATTCGAATTGAGATCATTCTGTCATTTTGGGGATTGTATCCCAGTATTGCATTTCCTATTCTTTTATTAACTATGAAGGCTACTCCATTTCTTCTGAGGGATTCTTGCCCACAGTAGTGTACCTGATGGTCATCTGAGTTAAATTCACCCATTCCTATCCATTTTAGTTCGCTGATTCCTAAGATGTCGATGTTCAGTCTTGTCATCTCTTTTTTGACTACGTCTAGCTTGCCTTGATTCATGGATCTTACATTCCAGGTTCCTATGGAGAAAAAATCTTTACAGCATCGGACTTTCCTTTCACCACCAGATATATCCACAGCTGAGCGTCCTTTCGGCTTTGGCCCAGTCGCTTCATTCTTTCTGGCGCTACTAGTACTAGCCCTCTGCTCTTCCCCAGTAGCATATTGGACACCTTCCGACCTGAGGGGCTCATCTTCCAGCGTCATATCTTTTTTCCTTTTAGTACTGTCCATGGGGTTTTCATGGCAAAGATACTGGAGTGGTTTGCCATTTCCTTCTCCAGTGGATCACATTTTGTCAGAACTCTCTGCTATAACCTGTCCGTCTTGGGTGGCCCTGCACGGCATAGCTTATAGCTTCATTGAGTTACGCAAGCCCCTTTGCCACGACAAGGCAGTAATCCATAAAGGGGAATTGGAATGTAATATAATGTAATAATTACATTATTATTAAATTTATTTGCCACCCATCTTGTGGTCTGGGGTGACTCTGAGTGTCTTACAATGTGATAGTGCATGCAGATATCCCTACAATTATAAATATAAAAAAGACTAAAATACGAAAAATTCAAACAAACTAAAATCCCTGTCTTTGGAACAGAGAGATGGTGGTTCCTTCTCACCAATCATCTCCAGCCAACAGCATCTCCTTCAGGAGTCCAACTCGATCAGCATAGCCAAGTTTTGAAGTTTTTTCTGAAGAGAAATGAGAGGGGGCGAATCTCACCTCCTGTGGCAAAAGGTTCGGAAGGGCAGGAGCCATTGGCAAAAAAGGTCTCCTGGATCATACCAGCCAAGATTCCTAGTAGGCCTCTTCTGTATAGTGTAGTGACTATCTTGCCTGTGTTCAAACTTTCTTTAAAAACCTGGCTTTGCGCTACTTAAGGCAGGGAAGATGTGGAAGAATGGTTTACTATCTTGGATGGGTTTTGTTTTACAAAGTGGTTTTTTTTCACTTTGTAAAGTTGCCAACAGTAGTTTGGAGTTGGGTGGCCCAGAATTATGATTAAACAAATACTGCTAAGATGTCAAATAATTTAAATGTCTTTTAAACAATGAAGTGAGAAAATAAAAGTTATTTCATGTTTTTAATAGAAATATTAAACTTGGTATTAACTTTAATGTAGAATTGCAATGTGAAAAAAATGCTCAGGGACATTTTGTGTGCTCAGTTATATCCTGCTGAGTCTATAATTTAACCCTAATATATTTACAGACAGAATATCAAAAATAAATGGGCCTCTTTGTTAATCAAATAGTAATACACTTTTTCCTGAACTCTGTTAATTTATATCTGTTGAACTTTGACAGACTATTTTTTAAAAGGTATCTTGAATAAACTGATGGCAGTGACAGATGCATAGCTGTCACTGCAAAGTGCTGCTGAGGTCTTCTTAAAGATAAAAGAATACCAATGGAGATAGCATGTTTCTTAATTGCAACACATTCTTGAATGCACAAAATTGTTATTTGTTTTAGCCATGGTTTGTTGAGTAAGCATAGTTAGCCAAAACCAAGCGAACCACATTATGTCTTAGCATAACATGAATCCAGTCACTAACTAACAGGATTAACTACAACTGCCTTCTACAGCAAAAACAGTTAATCCCTTTAACCAAAAGAGTGGACGGATTGGACCTTCCCCATTCAAGAAGTAGAAACTAGAGGCTACCCATCACAATATTATGGCTTTTTACTTCTTCCTATACTTTGCATTTAGCCAAAGAATGATCTAGTACAGGGGTAGGCAACTGTGGCTCTTTTATGACTCGTGGACTTCAACTCCCAGATTTCCTGAGCCAGCATGGCTCAGCTTGGAAATCTCTCCTTTTCCCCTCAGCATGGCTGGCTCAGGAATTCTGGGAGTTGAAGTCCACGAGTCATAAAAGAGCCAAGGTTGCCTACCCCCTGATCTAGTACCTGGAAAACACAAACATTTTGTTGCTAAATATCTGTACCAGAAACATTTATAATAATTTTTAATAGTGGGAATATGGCAGTCAGCCATTTGAAAGCAAAGTAGTCTTTGAAAAATCAATGTCTGCCTGTTGAGGCCAAAATAAACAGATGCTTTCACAGCCCTATAGCTTATTCCAGAAACTGTTTCAAGTACTCTAAAGCAGGGATAAAGTTTCTTCATAGGCTTTGAGTAGCATGCCCAGGTGATACACTTGAGGGGGGAAAAAAACTGGAGACATTTTTTTTTTAATTTTATTTTTTATTTACAAATATTTATATGCCGCCCAATCCCAAAGGACTCAGGGCGGCGTACAATATCATTACTCACTATATGCTTAACCACACTGAAATATATGGAGAACTTAATGAGGTCCTTGAAGTATACATCTTTGTCCTTCAGGAGGGGCCATGTTAGCTAGAAGTGGTATGTGTGACTCTTCACTTTGCACTGATGCTCACAGATTCTTCCAAGATATTGTAGTTCTCCGGTGGATAGCATAGATTCCTGATTAACTGCACAGACTTTCATGAACTCATGTATTTGCATTGTCAACTTAGTTTCTTTTGGATAGCAGTAGTTGGGGCTAGTAGTTGTACACTGTTTTGTGCTGTTTGGACAAACGATGGAGTAAAAATACTATTTAAGTAGCCTCTAAAAATCCCTTCTTGAAGTGAGACCCCATGTTCTATATGGGGGCTATGGAACAGGTTTTTCCAGCGTTGAGAAGTTTAGGATAAGACAGGGATAACCCCACCTCAAGTAGTAGTGCTGCCCAGACCAGTAAGGTGGTATAACCTCAGTTGCTTAAGGGCTGAGTAAATTGATGCAAACTGCTTCTTACCTCTGTTCAAAATCAATGTAATCTACTGTTTAACCAGTATAGTATACTGGTTAATGTATTAAATTTGAAACTTAAGTTATGTCCCCCATACAATCATGGAGCTCATGGAATGACTGGCAAGATAAATTACAAAGAATGCTCCCGGGCTTGAAGGCTTGAAATTAAATTTGCTATATCACTTCTTTCTTGAGCATATGCATTAAAAGATATAAAATCAGAATTCAGCATTTTACAACATAGAGAGTATTACTTGTTTATTCTTAGTTAACTTGATCTTTGTTAATATAAGTAATTAATATTTGGTGCTGTTTCCAAGTTTAGCTGTAGATTAGTGGCTACTGTCCTACAGTAGTCTTTTTCTACTGTATTTCCAACTGCTTTTCTTAAATTATATTATCTTCCCTTCCATGCACTGCTTGAGCCAGATCCCTTACCAATTCAGCAGAATTCCTCCCCCCCCCCTTTATAGCTAATCGGTCATTTTATCCATACAGTATGGCTTTAACTGGGGAATAATGAATGCCTAGGACATTCAAGAAACTTAGAGCTAGTTAATAGCTTGGGTAGTTTAATGAGATGAAAATCTGAGATGAAAGTTTATGGCTAGTTAATAGGTAACTCAATGTGTGAGAATGTAGAAGAACAATTGATTCATTTTTAGAGAACTTACTTACCAACATATGTGTAACATTTCTGTTGACATTTAGTATAATTTTATTTATAACTGAGAGAAAATGTTATTTTTTTTTAACCAAAACTTTTTAAAAAACTTTCACAAACATACTGTTAATTTGATAAAAGAGGATAGAGGAGAAAAATACTAAGATAAATATTTTACAAACTAACTAGATCTACATTTTTAGAGACATATAGCAGCTTGTGTATATGGGAAGTAGGGCTACCTGTAATATATGAGCTATTGTTTAGTGATGTCTGTGACAATTGTAATTTGAGGCAACCTCTTTTCCCACTTACAAATGTCCTGCTGAGGCTCTTAACCTTGAGGAGAATGAGTATGAATATGTACCTTTGACAGGAGACTTGATCTCCGGAGACAGACCTGAACATAACAATTGGATGAGGGAGATGGAGTGCAAGGAAAACAGTTCAGATGGTTTAGAAAAGTGCATTACAAACAGATTTGATCTTGAGGTTCATGGTGGATAAATAGGAGAACTTCTGGTAATGGAAATCATTGGATTTTAGCAGGCAGAATATAAGTTTAAATTTAATTAAACTTTAATTATTTTAATTAAATAAACTTTACATTTTAAGTTTAATTGTAAAGCTGGTCAGATTAGTTTTGAAGAATTTGCTGTTACCTAACACGTTTCACAGAATAATGTAAGTATTTTATCATCAGTTCTCCGGAGTACAGACAAAGTATATATTGATTGATTGAATCATTGAATCATTTCAGTTGGCCTGAATTCTACTCACCTTTTTATCACATGTTGGGTTTCAGAATAATAGCATGAAATTTGGGGTGTCTGTATTAGCCTTTTCTTGGATGATTTAAGCCATCATGAGATGTACCAAGAGCTATCCTACTGAACTCTTTCTGATCTGCAGTGTTAAATTGTCAATTTATATACTTATTTGCCTTTAACTTTATTTTAGAGTACTTATTTTTATCATGTATACAGTCAAGGGAATGTATAAATTCTTATTTCCTACAGGTTTCTTTCTTAGAGCTATAAGTCATCATGATAACTCATATTTGATAAATTAAGTTACTCAGTTTTAATATAGATAATCTGTTGGTATTTTTTAAAAAACAAGGTTGCCTTTTTATAGTGCTTCCTTTTAGGGGTGTGCTTTAAATAGATGAATATGCATCAACAGCTTCATTCTGGATAATGAAATTCATATGAAGAGTTTTCAAGCAGATCTAAGCAATATGCTTGTGGTGATCAGATTGTTCAGAATATCGACTAAAATACTTGCATGAATAGTGCAGGAACTCCTTATTCCTGTCCCTAAATTGATGCTTATATTGCACAGATGGAAGGTTTTCAGTTAGATAAATTTAAAGTGTTCCCAATAATGCTCTCTTTTCTGCCTAAGCACATTAGTTCCCTAAATAAACTTATTTGCATTACATTACATTACATGTGGGTTTACAGTTTCAATTACCATGCTTTTTGTTTCAACATGAATTATTCTGGCCCTTCAGATGAAGAGGGTTTTTTGACCTAGTGGTGGGGAAATTCAAATCCCAACTCCATTTAAACTGAGAAATAGTTTTGCTGTTTATAATTTGTTCTCCTGCCTCCTGAGGTTAACAATCTATTTGATATCTATGGAGATTCTCAGTCATCCAGGTCTATTTGATAGTTTAAATCAAGAATTTTGGACAGCAAAGAACAGCTTGGTGAGAAAGAAATAGGGCAGGGATTCTCAACCTTGGCAACTTTAAGACTTGTGGACTTCAACTCCCAGAATTCCTCAGCCAGCAAAGCTAGGGTTTTTTATCCTTCCTCTAATCCACCTGATCTCTATATTCTGTATATTATTACAAAGTAAGGGATTCAATTCCTTATTAGCAGCCTGTTTGCAGAAAATAACTGAAAACTAATAGAAAAAATATGACTTGTATCTCCATGCTGACCAAATAGAAAGAGAGTTGCTCTTTCTTTCAGCAGGCACAGACATGCAAGAGGGTATTTTTGTGGCAATGTTCAATGTGTGCATAATTGTGATTTTGTATTATTTACTCACCCCCTCCCCTTTTCCAAAACTAGTCAGTAGAAACAAAATATAGTACACAATCTTCATTTTAGGAAAAAATGGTTCATTTCAGGAAGGTGCACTGTATCAGTGTTCATATCTTGGAGCTGTTTATCTGTATCAAAACTTGCCCTTTGAATAAACAAATGCAATGAAATAATAGAAAAATGAAATAAATGGCAAAAGTAGATTTTTTAAAGTCTATTTACAGTATTGTAGTTTTAAACAATTAGACTATTTGTTATGAGATCTCTGCAGATCTTTTACTGTGTTTCTGAATTGAGATGTGTTTATGTAATATTTGAAATTTTGTATTTCACTTTTGAAATGAACAACCTTTTTGGAAATCATAAAATCCTACATGTCCATAGCAATTAATATTAACTCATAATTTTATGCTCTGGATCCAATTCAGTTCATGTTTAGAAATAAATTACTTCTTGTGCCAGCTTTCCATTTTTTTTCATAATGAGTAGAAGGCATAATATCCACAAATAATTTCAGTACTTTCAAAGTTTCTGTATATTTCATCATATTTAACTACTAACATATGTCTCATAATGTGGTTTATGAAATTAATAATAAAGCATCTACATCTAAGTGAGAACTTTATGGCTACATTCAAGGACAACTGAGAAAGTGCTAATTTATATAAGAATCTGGAAGTGGCAGTATGCAGAATACTCTCAAAAAAGCACCTTTTTCTTCTTGTTTAGGTTCACTGTTGGTGATTTGTGGAATACATTCTTTGACAAAATTCTGAATCCAAATGGGAAATCTACTGTGCCTCTTCTGCAAGATCTCAGAGAAGAGCTGAGCAGTTCATTTGATGGTTCTTTCCCCGGACGCCTTTGTGATTTCATACTAAGCTGGAAGACTTCCTTGATGTTGGAGACATGATTCTGACATAGAGAAAGTGCCCCTCTTAATATCTCCCTACTTTTCTATTCCCCTCTGTACCACCTAAGGCAAATGAAAGCTCATGCTTGATCTTCCTGTTAGATGTGTAAACAATAAGAACATTTTTCACAATTATTTTCTCATATGTTGTCAAATGAAGCTTAGCTGATGCCTTAAGAATATGTACAGTTGCTATCTATTGGTAGTATTCTATGCTTGCTTCTCTATAAATGTCCCAAATTGATTGCTTTGTAATATCTTAACTTTTTCATCCTTAAACTGTTGTAAATCACTTGTTTGTTTGTATTCTTTCTGTGTAATCACTGTTCAGTAAAACTGTTTTGTTGCCACTATGAAAATTTCTAGAATTATTGGATGAACGAAATTTTTTTGACATTCTTTCTAGTTTTTTGCATCTGTTTGGATTGCTAGGTTTATCTGAACATGTTCGTAAACTATATATCAAAAAAAATCCTGGGAGAGGCAAAATGCCAACTCTTTGATGTGGTGTTAGTTACATAATTGGCATTTCTCTACTTTTAGCGGAAGGGAGAAGGCAAAATTATTCCTTTGCCTCTGCATTAGTACTGCCCTCCACTTCTGCTGCCTAGGCTGCTATTTGGATCATGAAGAAAATTCTACTTTGGGCAGTAACATTTATGTCAGTAGCAGTATTAGATCGTTGATTGCCATGGATCTCTTCCTCAAATATTAATACATTCATTTGGCAGTCTAAATTGTCTCTAATTTGTACAGGTTAATTCTGTACCTATAAAATCATAGGATAAATCTCTACATTTGACTATAGATGGAAGCTGCAATCTGCTAATGGAGAACATGCCAATTTTATGTAGGAAAGCTGCCAACACTTATTCTGCAGCAGCTTACTGTCTCCTGTGGTGATTCCTTTATACAGTATTTGTCAACCTTGACAATTTTAAGGCATGTGGACTTCAATTCCCAGAATTCCACTGCCAGCAATGCTGGCTATGGAATTCTGGGAGTTGAAGTCCACATGCCTTAAAATTGTCAAGGTTGAGAAACACTGCTTTAGAAGATGGTTTGGATCTCACCCTTGGATATTTTTCATTGAAATTTAGTTGGTAAGAATGAACTAAATTGATGGCATTAACGCTAACCCTTTCCTAATAGTTAATGACCCTATGGTAATGACTGGTCTCGGTGCATATTATATTTCCCAGTAGTGCAGATTATTTTCTTACTATAATACAGGTAATCTGCTTACAAAGTTGGTTAAGAGTGAATATCTTGACAATCTTTTAAAAATTAGTTTGCATTTTCTACTGCTGCTTTTTTAAAGTTTTTTTTTTTTTTGTCTTAGCACAGATCTCATCAAACCTGGTAGAGTGTCCACATAGACATGTGGATGTAGAAGACCTGTTCAATATTGTATACTTGGTCTTTCAAAATACTTGACAAAGAAACATCATTTTATGGATTGCTAATTGGTTAGAAGAAAAATGTAAATGTTTACTGGCAGTTTTCTTACTGGAAGGAAGTAGGAAATGGAGTCCTTGAAATTCTGTGTATAATGTATAAACTGCTTATTCAGTTGATAGTTAGCTTGATTCAGGATAAGCAGTAAGCAGGTTAGATTTGGAGATGACACCAGTCAATGCAAGGTGATTAAAAACAGGATGTTGTGAACATTTTAGAAAGAGCTCTGGGTTAATGGCCAACCAAATGACCAATACAGGTCCATTTAATTAAGTATAAAATGTATTTTGGACAAAAAAAATCCATTACAGTAACTGATATGGGGCGTAAGCTATCTGTAACTAAAGAGTTCCTTATATAGTACATTTTGTGTCTGAAACGTGTACACTTGGTCACTACATTTGAAAAAAGTAGAAAAGAAAATGTATAACCAATATAATGGAGCAAAAATATCTGACTTTCTGTGATTTTACACACCTTAATTATCTCTCTCAGCTGACTTTTTTAAAAGATAGAGTCCTAAACTTCACTATCACAAGATGTTGTGTTGACCACTAAATTCGGTTACTTTAGAGAAGATAAATTCATGGAGGACAGGTTTGCAGGGGCTATTAGTTTTGAAAACAAAATATGATCTCCAAGTCATGGGCAACATGCTTCAAATACAGGTAGTCATTGGCTTACGACAACAAAGGAGCCCAACATTTGTGTTGCTAAGTGAGACATTTGTTATGTGAGTTTTGCCCCATTTTATGACCATTCTTGCCACAGTTGTTAAGTGAATCACTACAGTTAAGTTAGTAACAGAGTTGTAAAGTGAATCTGGGTTGACTTTTTTTGTCAGATGATCACAAAAGGTGATCACATGACCTTGGGACATTGCAACCATCAAAATTATGAGCCAGTTGCCGAATATCCGAATTTTGATCATGTGACCACAGGGATGCAACAGATGTGTCACTTTTTTTCAATGCCATTGCAACTTCAAATGTCACTAAATAAAAGGTGCATGTCAAGGACTACTGGTACCAGTCACACAGGAATAATGGTTGGAAATGGAGATGGCTTCATTTGCTCATAAGAACCTTCAGCATCTGGCCACTGTAAGATATACCTTGGCCTGATTCAGCAGGACATGTACCTGAATGTATAACCATAAAAACATGATCCCACTTGGCATCCCACTTATAAGGTGATTTAAGACATTATTAACAAATAGGAATGCATTGATAGACAGCATAGGAAAATACATTCAAATAGAATAAAACAAATCTCCAGCATCCAGGCTCTTAAACTCAAAACGTATTCTACAAATATCTGGGAAGAAGTCCTGATAAGGTTTTAGTGGAGGCTCAGGGAATGCCTCCAAGTTATTCTACTTGTGGGGCCTCAAAACAGAAATTCTAACCATCTCTAATTTCATTGGCATGGGTAAGTATATATCCTACATACAAGTTTTATAAGAGATTCATTACTAGCTCAAAGCTTGCTCCAGGTTCTTTTTTTCTCCCTCTCATGCAGTGACAAATTATGAATGTATGTTTCTTTTCAAAGTGTTTACTGCCTTTGCTATTAGAAAACACCACTCCATTAAAGTATTCACCCTTGTAAGTAGTTATGGAGGGTAGCTGATGAACCACAATATAAGCTAAACACAAATTTAATTTATTACTGGCGTTCAACCACTTGCTGTAGTGTTATGCATAATTCTTTTAAGTACTACAGATTCATTTACTGTGTTCAAGCATGTAACAAAACCAAAGACTTGTATCATTTGCCTCAAACAATGATTAAAATCTAATATATGTTGCAAATATGATAAAGGATCTGGAGACTAAATTTGGTAAACAATGTCTAAAGGAGCTAGATATATTTAGCTTTAGAAGAGAAGACTGAGGGGAGACATGATAACAGTCTTCCAATACTTGAAAGTCTGCTAGAAAAGAGGACATCATTTTATTATCTATAGTACCTAATGGTTGCACAAAAAGCAATGGATGAAAGTTCATCAGAGGAAGATCCAACCTGGACATATTTCCTCACAGAACTATTAAGCAGTGGAACAGCTTGCCTCATGGAGTCAGTGCTCCATCACTGAAGATTTTCAAGTAAAGATTGGATAATCATTTGTTAAGAGTTGATATGAAGACTCCTGCCCTGGGCAGAGGGTTAGACTAGAAGACCTCCAAGGTTTTTTCCATCCCTATGACCTAATCATTAACAAATGATGGAATTGTTTAAAAATTCTCTGTGTTTGCCTTAATACATAAATCATATATTTCAAAAATGTTTGACACCTACAAAAGTTCTGTTTGTGTTTTAAAATGTTTATGTAGCTGTCTCTGGTCTTATATTCATTCCCCTATTAATACATATCAACAATAACCTTGGACTAATTTGTTGTATTTGATGTGTACTGCTGCTTACTAAAACAGAAAAACTCCCTGAACCTCCTGTAAGGGCTAATACTTGACTATCTGATTTAAGACAGTTATATTTTTTGCCAGACTGTTCCTTTCTGAAGGTTAAAATTATCATTTAGCTGTAGGCAGTGAGCACTGAAGAACTGCATAACACCAAGTATCTACTGACTAATAGATAAGATTATTTAGGAAACACTATACTGTACTGTGGAAGGACTCTCAGATTACCAACTCAGATGATTTCACTCTTTTCCTGGTTTCTCACATTATATGCTGATGTCTTTCTAGCTGTGCTAATATTGGATGGTGAAGATCAGCTATTTCTTTCTTTCTTTCTTTCCTTTCTTTCTTTGTCTCTGTCTCTCTTTCTTTCAATCGTGTCCAATTCTTGGACTGCCTGGACAAGTCCCTGCTGTTTTCTTGGCAAGGTTTTTCAGAAGTGGTTTGTCATTGCCTCCTTCCTAGAGCTGAGGGAAAGTGACTAGCCCAAGGTCACTCAGCTGACTTTGTGCCTAAGGCGGGATCAGAATCACAGTCTACCAGTTTCTAGCCTGATGCCTTAATCACTACATGAAACTAATTCTCAAAATTTCAATAATTTTGGAACTGCAGTTTATTAGTTCCAATCATTAATCCCTGCGGATTTCTTGGCAAGATTTCAAAAGTGGCTTGCTATTGCCACCATCCTAAAGCTGAAAGGGAGTGATTGGTCCAAGGTCACCCAGTTGACTTCATGCCTAAGGCGGGAAGTCACAGTCTCCCAATTTCTAGTCTGTTTCCTTAACCACAACGCAAACTTGCAAGCTTAGATGGTGTTGGTCAACTCTACCGTAGCTAAAGTTTATTGACAGATATCAGGAAGTCAGAGACCAGATCATGGATGAAATGAAAATAGGCAATAAAAAATACAGCTCCATTCATCTACTACTAAAAATTTTTTTTAGCCAAATGCTAAAAAAAAAATGTGATAAGACTGAAGGCCGATTCAGATCTGAAGGCAGAAACTGCTAGAGGAGGAGCCACATCTCTATATCAACTTAAAATTGCTCCATTTTAAAGGTTATTCATTAGTGGTAGAATGTTTTGCAAATACTGCTCAAGTTGTCTTTTAACTAAGTGGTCCTCAACCTCTGGACAACGGCCCACTAGTGAGCCATAAGCTGTTTGCAACCGGGCCGTGGAAAAGTTAGGTGAGCGTGCATGTGAATTCCCACTGGCGTGAGCAGCGGCAAGCACATGCATGCACGCTCCATTTGCATGAGCAGTGGATATGCATGCACACCATTTGTGCAAATGGAGCTGCGTGCACATGCACACGCTTGCCAGCCACTCACATGGAACCATCCCCTCTCCCCCCCCCCCCGCCGGTCCACAAAGCTGGAAAGGTTGGAGAACTCTGTTTTAGCTTACA